TATTGGGCTGATGGATATTTAACAGAATCGTTCGCAGTTTTCTTCTGAAGAAATAAAGTTTGCCATCAATCCTAGTTTTATACACACACGGCAGGCCCAGCTTGTCTTGGTGGCTTTCAGCTGCCGTCACCAGTAGCGAACACAAAACTCCTAGACTCCGAAGGGCCTTCCGGCGGCCCTTTTGCCGTTGTTTAGTGCATGATCTATCACTTTCAACCTAAACGCAACCGTGTAGCTTCAGTATCGCCCCATAATGTGACACATAATGTGACATAATGTGATTACCGACACAGCATATAAAACACGCCCCAACGTGCACTTGCCACTTTGGCTTGGCGTGGATTGGATTGAATCTCTGTGCAATAATAGTATGCTTGATGCTTAAGAGATGGCGCCAGACGGTGCGCTATCATTATCAGTGGTTGTAGCGAGCAGACGACATTATTGCGGCAGTTTTCGGGGGTGGATAATTACTCGAGGAAAAGAAGAAATCGTATTTTTGTGTGGCGATGCGGGGGGTGTGAGGATTATGCGAGTAAATACGGTAAACACGTATGTACACCCCATGCCATATTCACCGGATGAACTTTTGATGTCAAACGAATTATATCGGACCAAAGTATTTTCCAAGCAGTAGGAGTTGCTAAATGTTTGCTACCTTATTTGCTGCCACAGTGCGAAGCGTGGTGGTGTCAGCTTATTGATAGTGCATCAACGATGCCTTGCATAATCCGTTGCATGCTACAGAAATTAGTTCCAACTAGAATTGACATATTAACTGAACGGCACTTCGAGGTAATTGGTACCAAGCGTGCCTGACGAATTTGCCGCAGTAGTAGGCCGCTAGCAGGAAGTGCGCCATTCTGGCTACACAGGACCGAATGTTTCACATGGCGATGGTTGGTAAACATATTATGCCATCTTCATTACTTGCGCTGTCAGCAACATGGAGTTGCTCTGTCAACAGAACACAAGCATTTTACTTCCCATTAAGTAGCGCTTGTGTTGCAGTCATGATCAGACTCTAACAGTGTGCAATTAACTGCAATCGGGTGTCGCAGGTTCTATCAGCGGGATCGAAGCAAGGATATTGAAAAGAGTACATGCGCATGCTTTTCGCAACATCGAAATTGAAAAAACTTGTCGAACAACAACACTGTTCGGAAGGTACTGGTGAAGTGCTGGAGACGTTAACAGAGAGGCGTTAATCGTCGTCGTAACTGCACGTTTCATTGCTCTAACCATTTGGCTTCGATGGTCGAGCTCGAGCGTGTTGGCGGCATGCAATATTCAGTAATCCACTGTAATGGGACTACATGTAATGCACAAAAAAACTATGCTTTTATTTTTACCTTGCTGAAAGTTTTTATACATGAAGTACAATGTGACTGACGAGCATAAAAAAACAGCAATTCACAAGGGGGCATAAAAGTGCAACTCGCTCCTCGTGAGTTAGTAGCTGATTGTTCATTGTCGCTGTCACTCTTGGTGCGATGACAACCTTCTACGTCTAGTAAAAAATGCTCGTTTTTGCAATGGTTTCTTTGAACGTGACTGCCAAAAACAATCTGAAAAATTCTTATCTGCCACTTGACTTCGACAAAACCATCGCCGCGTCACTCGCCACATTTATCTGGGTGTCGAGAGCATTTTGCTCTGAAACCCATTCTCAATCGAATTGTTTGCAGTGTGCTGCCATCTATCAACAAACGCACATAAACAAGCAGCGCAGTGCTGGCCATGTTTTCGAGAGCGAATCACGAGCCCATGCGGCTTTCCGCGTTCAATGAATGTTATGGGATTCATGCACTACAAGAGCATTGACGAATTTTATACGCACGTGAAACAAGGCGAGTTTTAGCTACAAAAATTAGACTATAACATTTAAACTACATGGCCACAGAAAATCTCATGAAGCAGATATATGTGTACTCTGTGAGCTATAATCGACAGTGCGAGTTGCCACATTTTTCACTTCACGTAATCTTTACGTCTTGCAAGAAAAAATCAGATTTGTAGTCTCATGGATGATCTAGCTTATTCACTGATGCTCGAAACATTCAAAATGATTAGTGTTCGTTCCTTGCTAACGTATTAAGGCTAGCACCACCCCACAAGGGAGCGTCTGCCTACTGACCATCCTTGAGATTACGCCCCTGAGTTCCTTTTGGGGGCTCAACAGTCTATAGGCATTGTGAATTCCTCGCTTGGAAACAGTCGTGCCCACTCACGTTATGACAAATTAGGCATCAGGCACCACGTTTGTTACTATGGTGACGAGGTTAACATTACCTTGGAAAGAACAAGCAACAATTGGTGTGTGAGGTTCTCCTACGTTGGCAACAACAGCCTATTTTAATGAGGAAGCCATCCAACGTCACCTAGCTAGTTAGGGCTAAATGTGATCAGGCGACCCCGCGAAAATCAAGTTGAAGGTAAGTCTTTTTATTGTACTTTAAATTTTCGAAATCGTATACCTTAGGACTGCGTGGGTTTATCGCTGTTGTTCTTGCTGCATTAACTATCATCAAAACATGATGCGATTCGGCATCCGATCGGGCGTGCGACCCCACACGGCCCGTACGATAATTCATGAGCCATTAGCGCTCAGGCTCCGCTCACATACGAATCCTCAGCTTGCACGCTCAGAAAACATCATATCCTCCTTATTAAGCAGAAAACAAAGCTCATGCAGTCATGCTTCGCTCTCTAATAACATTGTCAACAAAGCTTCGCCTACATGAACAATAAACATCGATCGTCGCAGCTCACGTTCGTTCATGTGTAGGCCCAACAAAGCCCATGTTCTCGGCAGCGCCACTCACTTTTCAACATGAGCTCATTGTCAAGCACTTATTTTGCACAACACGATAAAAACTTGTACACTTATGTGACTCTTTCAGACGTGCAACTGGTTTTCTCAACAACCTTGATATAAAGAGCAAAGGTGAGAACGAAGCTGGGCAGTTCGCCGAGATGGCCGATGCCTCTGTTTGTTTATCTGTGAAATGGCCTTCTATAACGGTCGATATCTCATTGGTGGTTCGGCAATGAATGTTGCCTTGCAGAAATGACACACATCAAGCATCACTTATTTATTCAACCATGAGTTTTTTTACGTCAGAAACAGTTTATCTAATGTCTTTCATGCCACGGGCAACGGTGATATCCACAAATTCCAGGGCGATCAGGGCCATCAAAGTGGCGAGGAAGAACCCTGGACGGGCGCCCACCAGCGGCGCCCCTTGTGGTGTTTCTGCGCAGCTAAATTCAGCAAGTTGGATGCTCGTGCGACACGCAAATCGTTGCTGCATGCTGTTAGAACCTGTTGTACGTCTGTAGGATGCGGCTGTTGGAAGAGCCGTACGGCAAATCGCATTTGAATCGGCACCATGTGTCGAGCACTTTAGTCAGTGTGCACTTGAATCGACCCATAAGTAAAAAAATGGGGGGTTGAATAGTGCTAGAGCGCCTCTTTAACCTGCGCCTTCCAAAAATGCCTTTTTTTGTCATATTGATAGCTTGCTCACGCAGATGCATCCCTCCCGCTTCAACAATGATGCGGGTGCGTTCATCTCTGAGCTGGCAGAAAACTAAATGCTATCAAGCACTAGACAACAACCACAGGGATTGCAATATAAAGCCAGAAAACCATCCCTCTTGTTCCAGACGTTGTTTTCATGGTCACGAAGTCGGTCTTATACGTGGAGGCATGTGCCAGCAAATGTGGAACTCACTAAGACTCTCTCAAAAAATATATCTTTGTATCCCTCCGGCTCAGACTCACCAAACTTTGCCTGAGCCAGATTCCCTTGAGCTTATCCTCACGACAATTTTCTTTAAGCAGGCTCACTCGGGCTCAAACACACCAAAATTTTACTCACCCAGACTAGCTGGGACTCGTGGCTCGATCTGAATCTGAGTGAGTTTGAGTGAGTCGACGCAAAAGTGAGTTCGCTGACCTATGCCTGCCAGTCTGTCTGACGTATGTACCTTTTCATAAGAGGGAAAAAACGCAACCTTGTTGAGCTGCGCATGGTGCCAGTACAAAGGTCACAGCCTCACATTTTTGGGAGGGCTCACGCCAGTCTGCACAGCTGTTTTTAAAAAGCTTGTCTGCGTTCCTTCTTTTTTCTTGTGTCATGATTACGTTCAAGGATGTAATTACTGTGTCCTATGGCGCCATCATAAATATTTCACAACCCACATCTGTGCTCAATGCTGTTAACATACTTGGCGTTTCAATTTTCATCTAGTCACTGTTTGGTTCATTTGTAAATGTAAAACTACTGAGCTCGCTATAATTGTCACCGCAGTTCTTCCAAGTGATTTCAAGAAGAGCACATAATGGTGGCACACGAAGATGACGCAAGTGCTGAGTTTTATCATTTGTGTATGTTGTGTTGCTTTCCGTGCCCAAGTGTGCACACCTACACATGCAGCAGCTGTGTCTCGGCCTCTTGTGATGTCTTAAACACTTCTATATGTTTCGAATGGCGGAGAGTTGAGATAGTTCGTACGTATTTATGTGAAAGAAAGTGAATGTGCAAATACGAAAGGCAAGTATTATAATCCATCTAGCTCTGTATTGTGTTTCTTCACGATTCGACCCTGAAATCAAAATTACCTTGTGTGTGGCAAACAAGGAGTTACTCGGATCGCCTTGTTGCCTCCGTCGGAGCAATCTAAGAACCGGCTGCCTTCAAAATTGTAGTTATTGTTAAATTGTTGTCACACAACTCCTCCTTGCAGTACCTTCGGGCCCTGAGATTATGAAAATAATGAATGAATGCATAAATCAATAAAATAAATTCAGGAAACCACATACAGTGACTGCAAAAGCACACAACAACAGAAAAAAAAACAAGACGCAAAAACTTACCTGTGCATAATCTGGAACGCGTTTGGATTTTATTTGTATGTGCGCGCATTCCAGATGTATGAGTGAGAAGTTGCTTCCGAGGTCGGAAGGTGACAAGGGCGAGATGCTTTTCGTGCAGAGAACCTGTGTGGAGGCCGCTTCCACCAGCATCTGCGAGACACATTTGCCCCTCAAGTTGTTCGCTATGTGGACCTCATGGAGTCCTCTATCGCCCAGTCGTTACACAAGGGATTTGAAAAGGAGCACTGGGAAATCAAAGGGTGAGTGCATGGCTTTGCTCAGATGCTCTCAGCAACTTTTACAGCAGAGTGTTGCTGTAGGGGTCACAGATAATACAAAAATGATGATAATCCTGAACCAGCACATGCTGTCTTTGTTCTCGCCTTCTTCCTCTTCTGCATCACTCTGATAGAGGTGAGAGAATCAGTTCGCAGAGAGAATGAGAATATTTCTGCTTCAAGCTGGCGATTATGATGTGAGTGTATTCACCACTCGGCTTCGCAGGCTTTTTTTTTCGTGATATCGATTACACAATGCGTATTCGAGCACACTGGCAGAACAGAGCATAGCCTTGTTTACATTATACAAGGGGGCAAAAAACTGGAATTCTGAAGGTGCGCAAGAGAGATGTGAGGGCTATGAGGAGGGAAAGATGTATTGAAGAACCAGTGCAAAAGCAGAGAGAAAGGAATACGAAGAAGAATGAAAAAGAGTAGCAACAGAGAAAAAGATAGAGACCGACCACATATTGAAGAACAAATGCACAAAAAGAAATAAAAAAACATGGCTCATTCCCCTATATAGAAATCGGTATAACACGAAAGTGAACGTGCCTGTAGAAAGGTAGTTGAGTGTTTATTGTGCATTGTTTCAGCACCATTAAATTGCCAAGTCCCGTGAGGAACGGAAAGCAGCTCAAAACTTGCAGCGCACACCTCAAGCAGGAAGAATGCACAAAATTAGCATGCACAGGACGAGCGCAGACTAACAACTGTCACAGTGCGACACTTAAAGTGCACTGTTCTAGCAGAAAGACGCATGAAAGGAGTGCACAAGTATATACAATTCTTTCTGCCCCGAGTGTCACCCGCGTGCTTCTTTTGTAAACGCGGTCGTGGCAGCGTGCGAAGTGACTTTCGTCTTCTTCCGGATTACGAGCCTGATAAGTGTGCGCCCAATAGAGAGCACGCTTCGCGGAGGCAACGACCTTTAGAGCGTGCCCAACACGAGCCTGTCGTGCCATTTTGCCACTGATAACGATAACGCGCTAAAGTTTCGGAAGTCTGAGGACTGCGAAACAGTGTATGGTGTATATAAATGGCTTGCATTTAGCATTTCAGAAAACGTACACTTTGTGGCATAGTGGTTAGCACCTTGTGCTACGAATCAAGAGGTTCATGCTTTCTGTTTCTTTTTTTCTTTGCAATCTCTTAGTACATATTTTTCAATGTCACTTCCGTGACGGAAGTATGTCAGCGGAGCCGTGGTGGACCCTGGCATATAACAGTTTGGTGCTAAAAAGAGAAACATTAGAAAAATGCAGAAAATAAATTGACGGAGAAATAGCTAGAAAGCAATGAATAAACAAGACATATAAATAGCAGAAAAAAAGCAAGTCTGAAAAATGAATGAAAAGATCAAAATAAAAACTTGTTGTTGGGCGAGTTGGTGAATGCATGACAGGGTTAGTTTAGGGCTACAAAAGATCTACATGTGTGAAAAATGGAGGGCAGATGAGCACTACTAACAACAAGTGACATGGGTGCTGTGAGCGTTACCCCCTCGGAAAAAAAAAAGCATTCCTGGCTTAGGCCGCCAAGACGACCATGAGACCAGCTGACAACTTTGCAAGTGGTGTGACGAACAATAGTCCTGGCCGGGTGCCAGCCGCAAATATTCTCTTACGCCATGCAATACTTGCTTGACCTTTGCAATGTCTCGAACCTGCGAACCGCATAAAATGTCGATGGCACTTGAATACAGTGAAATGTCGGTGTAACAGCCGTGGCAATTTGTTCATTATTTTGAAAGGTAGTTAGTTATAGGGAAAGTTATAAAATTAACCATAAATACTTAATTTCCACTGACCAAAAGGACTTGCCTTTATAACGATGTGTCCTTGAACTCGTTTTTTACGAGAAAAAACAAATGCACACGTGAACACAAAAATGTGCATGCTTAGTTAATGAAGTCTGTGATTCTTTTTTTTTACGCATGCAGCACAAAGTCCTCCAGCTAATCCACCTTCCTGCCATGCGATTTGGTCGCTTCAACGTTTTTCGCTAGGAAAATGGTGCTTTCGGCATGATATTCATCACATCTGCAACCGTCACGACCTCATAACAGTTTTCAGGTTGGGACGAGGTCGCATCTTTATTTTCAGCGGCATCGTCCTCACCATCATTGCTGCCTTCATTTTGTATAGTCTGAAGGATGTCTTCTGTAGTCAGCTCTACTGTTGTTGTGGTTACTTCATCGCACAGCACATAATTGTCAAATGAGATCGAATCCATGGCCAACAGATTGGTCACCTCACTTCAAAGCTTGCCAGGATTGTCCTCCTCCGCCTGGTCATCGTTGCATGGCTGCCCGGTGTCTTCTGGCTGCTCACTCGTGCACATGAGCCCTGCCTTCCACCAGCGGTTCTCAACAGTTGTTGAAGAGACGCTCCACCGTGCGTTGGTGAGCATTTCCGCCGCCTGTCGTACTTGATGACAGTCAACTGCTGAAATCGCAGGTTGATAAGCACGCGCTGAACAAGGCACTTGTGAAAGTGCACCTTGACACTTCTAATTATTCCCTGATCGAGAGGCTGAAGCACAGATGTGCAATTGGGCGGAAGGAACTCAAGGCACACATTTGTCAGTTGTACATTTTGTCCTTCCTTTTTCATCTTCTTGTCCACGGTCAAAAGCCACTGCGTAAAGAGCTCTAGAGTCATTCAGGCTTGTTTGTTTGCCCTGTAATCGCATAGAAGGGACACTACATTCTTCATGCAGCACTGTTGTGCAAACCTTCCAAGGACGAGAGGCTTAAGCTTTTCTGTGCCGGTTGCATTGCAACAATACAGAACAGTAACGCCAACCTTCGATTTTTTGCCACCCTAGCACTCTTCCAAAGTGCATCGTCTTGTCCGGCAGAAGTTGGTAGGAGCAGGCCATCTCATTGGCATTGAATATACTGGCCGCACTGTATGAATCCATGATTTCCCTAAACTTCTATTCCCGCTACGTGGACGCTGCCGCTTCGTGTGCTGTCTTCTCTTCACCGGACACAGTCGGCCAGGTGATTGCATTATGCTGGCAAAAACAGTGAAGCCAACTAGAAAATGGTTCAAAGTTTGTTACATTCAAAATTGCAGCAGACTGTGGCGCCTTCTCCTGAGTCAGTGGGCTGGGCACGTTCTGGGCTCTTATGTTTTTAAACCTTGTGAGCACCGCACTAATGGTAATGGCACACTGGTGTCTCTTATACCCATTTGTCTCTTACATCAGTGTCTTTTATAAAGGGGTTCAACTGTGCACCTATTTGTTTATTTCGAATATTTCGAAAAGCAATATAAATTCTAATCAAAGTGATTTTGAGCACACTACTATTTATTCGAATATTCGTACAAGCCTAGTTTTGTACTGTCATAAATACTGCAATACTTGAAAGCTCTATGAGGCCTATGTGGTTAAGAAAACACGGAGATGTGTCAGCGATCTGTCAGTGGTGCTTGCAGACTGTGAAATTAAATATCTATCCTCTAGATTGCGACTCATTGTTTGAAGCATTCACATGAGTGTATTCGGCAAATGAGTTTATGCTGTCTTTTTTATCCTCAGTGCATATGTGTCCTCTTCTAATGAATAAAATTTTAGTTGCGAGCCCGCACATGCTTTTACTTTTTCTGTTGTCCTTGTACAGCTTATAATGTAAGTCGCGAATAAGTGGCACTATAAGTAGTCCCACACTACAGTGGAATCTCGGTATAAAGAACTTCAGGGGGCTGTGGCAGTTTGTTCGTTATTTTGAAAGGTCATTATAGTGAAAGACAAACTACTAACTACAAAATACTAACTGTAATACTTATTTTTCACCGACTAAAATGACTTGCCTTAACAACGGTGGGTCCTTGAACTCGTTTTTCATGAAAAAAAAACAAATCACAAGGAAACACTAAAAAATGCACATTTACTTTAAAGAAGTCTGCAATTTTCTTTTTGACGTGTGCAACACAAACTTTGCAGCGCAAAGGCCTCCAGCTCATCCACCTTCCTGTGGTGTGATTCAATTCTTTGTTCACAACAGCCTTCCGATTGCCGAAGAATATCCACATTCTCGCTTGGCAAAAATTTCTTCCGCTTGTTCGTCGCAAGCAGAGATGAACTCATTTGTAGCAGCAACGTCGTGCGAACACCGACTTGCTTTGCGGACACGATAAGTAATCACCGAAAAGAGATGAACATGACTGACAAACAACGCCTCCTAGAGCACATATAGAAATGACAAAGAAAGAAAAACCCGATGCGTCGCGGCTGTCATCGTATCTTCCGGAAAAAAAAAAGTGAAAAAATAGAAAATTTCTCGCATTTCAATTTCTGCTCCCTCACCGTCTCATGTTTTTCGCACCCATGCTTCCTGCTTCGCAACTCCCACTCTGCCTCGCTGACCTTGCCCTCCCTTGTTGCCCTCCTTCTCGCTTATGCGCTTGTAAACCAGCATCGGGGCTTCAACAAAAAGAAAGAAAAAAGTCGCTATTTAATTTTTTTTCTTCCGCACTTTCACGCGTCTTCCGAGAAGCAAGGAGTCTGTTTGTAATGTCGTCTGCTTGCATACTGCTCCGGTGGTCGCGACGGATTTCAGAACATGAGTTCATAGCACTGAGGCATTATTAATATTAGAGGGAACTTAGTTAACGCTTGTTATTCTGAAAAGTTTGGTATTCTAAAGTACATAGTATTGAAATAATTTTACATTAAAACTATTATCAGTCGGCGTGGGATTTTTTAAAAGTTTGTTAATCTGAAAAGTTCGTTAATGTGGGCTTCTTTCTACCGAGATTTCACTGTATAACCAAAACAACGTTTTGTATAGGCTGGCTTTGCACAAAACGTGTTAAGCATACAGCCTTGCGTGTTTGAGCATCGGGGCATGCAATGTGAGGTGCTTACCAACATTAAAATTTCTGAATGTTCAAAAGTTAACGTAGGAAGACCCACATAGCAAACAAAATAAATGTGTGTAAAAAAAATTAAGAAGAGAGAAAGCACCATCA